GGGGGGGGAAGCTCAAGGCCGAGGCCGGTGTGGTTCAGGTGCCACACGGAGGGGCTGGCACGATAAGACTGTGCATGTTAACAAGAAGCATGACCGTTATTGCTGCAGGCGGAGCTGCGCTGCCTTGACAGCTAGGCAACGGCGGCAAACCAGCAAGTGACGCCTGACGAGTGACATTGACCATGCCTGGACGGGCGAGACTGTATCGTTGTGAGTAGACGTAAACTCAATCGATGAAGCGGTAGAAAGACGCGTCACAGGATCAGGATGGCGCAGCAGGTCGTGCTGGTTGCGTGCAGCGGCGACAGCAACGTTGTGGCATGGTGAGCACCGTCTACACTATTGAGAACTGGAATAAATTACGTCCGCGCGCTGAACCTGCGCCGTCGATCTTTGCAGGGACCTGGCCACCGCGACGCAGCTCACGCAGTATAAGGGCAATAATAGCAGCAACAATTGTTTCTGCATTGTCGGAAGAGACTACTTTGCCAGTGCGCAGGCCAACAAAGATGCGGTGCACATCTACGCTTTCTACAAGGTGAGCCGCCGCTGCCGTCATCGTGCACGCGCTGCTGCCCCCACCGCCGCCTGCCCCCCCCCCTCGCCCACATGGTCAAGCGCGACGTACCAAGTAAATCATGTGATAGGTTTCAGCCGTGCAAGGACACCGGCGGCCCGATCGGCTACACCTTCGCGTGCCACCTGCGCCCGACCAAGGCGGCCAACTCATCCACGCCACGCTGTGTGTTCATACGACAGGACCAAGTCCTGCAGCGCAGCTTCGCGCAGGAACGGCTGTCGTCGCTGGCCGCCACGCGCGACGGGCGGTACCTGGCGGCGGGCGGCGGCAGCGGGACACTGTACGTGTGGGATGTGGCCTCTGGGCAGCTGCTGCGTGCATGGCCGGCGCACTACAAGGTGGGGCAGGGGAAGTTTGTTGAGCAGCGGCGGCATGTGCTGTATGATTTGTGTCTGCACCAGCCTTGGTGTGTCTACATGCTCTCCCGTGTGTGTGTGTGTGTGTGTGTGTGTGTGTGAGTGTCCCATTGCGTTTGTTATCCTGCATGTTTGCCCGGAGTGAAGCCCAAGATGCCCTGTCTGCTGTGCCTGTGTCTCACCCCACCTCACCCTACATCCCTCTCTCAGGCCGTCAGCTGCCTTGCATTCAGCGAGTCGGGGGGCATCCTGCTGAGCGGCGGCGATGACACCATGGCCGCCGCCTGGCTCATGGCCGACATCCTCGATGGCTGCGCGGGCGGCGGCGGCGCGGTCGGCGCGGCCGGCGGATGGCAGGCGCAAGGGCGCGTGGAGCCGCTGCACACATGGTGCGATTCGGGTGGGGGGCAGGCAGAGGGGAGCGCCGCAGGGCAGTGCAAAGAGAGGCGCAGGGTGCGAGAGCGCCGGAGCGCACCGGCGCAGCGTTGAGCCCGTGGCCGTGCAAGCTCCCGTGTCCCACACCACTCGACCTTCCCTTCAACATAAGCAAGCGCACGCACGCACGCGTTCTCGCGCGCGCGCACACACACACACACACACACACACACACACGCACACACACACACACACACACACACACACACACACACACACACAATGCCGCCGCCGCCGTCCAGGGCGGAGCACACACTGCCGGTCACATCAGTCCTGCTTGGCCTGGGGGAGGTCAACGCGATTGCGGTCACAGCCTCCCTGGACCGCACCGCAAAGATCTGGCAGCTGGCCACGGGGAAGCTGCTGCGCGCCGCCGCGCTGCCGGCCGGCGCGACCGCGGCAGCGCTTGACGCCGGGGAGCATGCGCTGTACGTCGGCTGCGCGGACGGCAGCATATGCGAGGTCGCGCTCGCGGGCGCCGCGGCCGCGCAGGGCGGCGGGGCAGCTGCTACAACGGCGGCCGGGGCGGCTGCAGCTCCGGCGGCGGGGGACGTTGTCGTGATGGAGGGCCACAGCAAGCCGGTGAGCAGCTTGGCCATCTCATTGGACGGGGACAGCCTGGTCTCGGGGTCGGAAGACGGCAGCGTGCGCGTCTGGGACCTGCGCAGCCGCCAGTGCGTGCGCGTCATCGCGTCGCCCGCGCGCGCGCCGGTGACGGCGGCGCTGGTGGTGGAGTGGCCGGACTACCTGGCGGGGGTCGGCCAGGGCACCGCCGGCGGCGGAGGCCGGCACGGCCCCAAGCGCCCGGCGCCGCTGGCGCCGCTGGCCAAGTTCCGTTCGGGGGCCGGCGGCGGCGGCGGCTCTGGCGGCGCCGCGGGCGCGCAGGCGTGGGAGGGGTCGCCGGTGGTGCTCGATGGCAGCTGCCCCGCAATAGGCGTGGCAGAGCTGCCGGGGCTGCTGCTGCCTCGCGGCGCGCCGCTGCTTGCAGAGGCAGCCGGCTTTGGCGCCTTGATCGGGGACAGCGGCTACGACGTCAGCAATAACGGCACTTTCGGGCAGGCGGCCGCTGCAGGGGCGGCAGCGGGCGGTGGCGGGGTCGTGGCGGAGGAGGGGGGCCTGGATGCTGCGCGGCGGCAGGTGGCGGAGCTTCAGCAGAGGCTGGCGGAGGCTGAGGCTGAGGCCGACCGGTGGAAGGAGCTGCACTCCGAGCTCCACGCGTTCTGCACCGAGCAGGCGCTGGGGGGCGCAAAGGTCTGACGTGGCGGACGCTGCGGGGCGGGGCGCGGCGACCACCGGGTGTGAGCTGGCTCTCTGCTTAGCTGTGTTTGTGTGTTGCTCGCCCCCCGTCTGGCGCTGTCCGCTTTGATTGGCCTGACATCGCGCTGAAACACGCGGCGATGGTCAGCGCAGGCTGGGTCTCATGCGCCCGTGATGGCTGCGTCATGAGGCAGGCGGCGCTGCGACGCGCTCGCCCCACATGCCGAGTAATCTGGTTGGTTGTGGCGGGGCCTGATGCACCAGGCTCCCAGCCCTGCAGCAAACAGCCATGCAGATTACGTGTTGTATGTTCCACACGTCACATAAGCCTGAAGGCGCATGGCCACATATGTGCAAGTTGGAGTGGCAGATGCACGCGCGCCGCGCGGTGCTTGCCCCCCGTCTCCACATGGCATGCATGCAAACCAATAATCACATGTGTGTCGGTGTCACAGTGTGACCCATACATTTGCGCGAGCCCTGATGCCTGCCTGCATGAATCATGCACATGTGGAAGATTCTTAGTCAGCGCGATAAGCTTGCGCAGCTGGCATGAAACATTGCTGGTTGGAAGCACTTGCGTCCGAGCCAGTGCGAGAGGCATGCTGTGGGACTCACAGGGACAGCTCAGCACGAGCACAGCATGCAAGACACATGTTGCACTAACAAACGCGCATCTACAGCCCTGTGCGCACGCATTTGCAGGAGCGTTGCAGCTGGTGGTACGTCCCAACGCCTGCGCTGCCTGTGGCAAGACCCGCGCGGCCGATGGCGGGAGCCTCAAGCGCTGCGCTGGCTGCCTCTTGGTGAGCTACTGCTCCACAGGGTGCAGTGCGGAGGAGTGGCCCAATGGGAAGGGAAACGGTCACCAGGCGCTGCGAAGGCAGCGGGATGCAGCAGAGCCACAGCAGCAATAGCTGCAGCTGGGCAGGCAAGTGCAGCTGGCACTGCAGCCGGCACAGCAGCAGCATAAGCAGCAGCAGCAGCAGCAATAACAGCAGCAGGACAAGGTGGAGCAGCAGCAAGGAAGAACCCGCGCCAACACGGACGGGTACACGTTGGCCGCTAGCGTCCCGCAGATGCGCCACCAGCCGCTTACGCACGAGGAAAACGGCGGTTGGCAGAAGCAGATGCGGCAAAGACCATGAATGGATAGAAAACAGGAGACCCCGGTCTTCCTAGGGCATTTTTTTGGCGGCCACTTGTATTCGGGGGTACCTGTGCTGCACTGGCGCCCTCGGGATGTACTTGCTGTTTGCATGTCGAGCTGCAAGTGCACAGCAGTGCATTCTTGCAAGTGGTATGCAAGCAAGTGGCACAAACCTTCCTCCGAGTGATTGTGAGCACGCGTCTCAGCAACGCGCTGCCGCTATGTGCACACGGCTTTGCATACTTCTGCAGAGCGGCTGCACGTGTAAGGGCACGGCAGCTCCTGCTGACGTCACCTCAAACCAACCACACCTTCTGGGGACGTCCTCAGCATGGACGCCCCCTTGGCAATCCCGAGTAACGTCCTGGAGGGGTTGGTGCAGCTCCATACCGCCGTGATGAGGACCAGGGCTGGCAGCTGTGTGTCGCACTGCTCACAGCCGGTTTGCTTGACAGCCTTTTGCAGGCCGAAGCCTGTGTGTGATCGCTGTGCTTGGGCATGGCACTGTCACCATCCCCTCTTGCCTTCCTGCTGCTGTAGCGCTTTACAGAGCCCAAACCCAGAAAGGCGGGCGTGCGGCGAAGGGGCATAGATCAACATCCGACCAAACTATAATCGATCTCAAAGCCGGCGAACCACAAGGTTACCGCGTCCCCCAATTGTATCAAACCTTCAGAGCATCACCAATGGCACCGCGCATGCAGCTTGTCAAGGGCAGGCGCGGCAGCGCGGGCATGAACCTTCCCAACCCTAACTTCTTTGCGACGAGTACACCTGGGTCAGGCAACAGCCAGCGAGGTGGCCAACCACGCTTCATGCGCGCGCGCCGGGCAGACGCACGAGTGCTCAAAGCCTCGGGACGCAGCAATCAGCAGCGGGTTGGGGCGCGCAGTGACCGCATGCCCAACACGCACACCAACCTGGCAGGCCAGCACACGTGCGTGGAAATCAAATCGCAACTGCCGATTGCAGTTTGGCCTGCGGGTGCGTGCGTCAAGACTTGAAACAGAAATCGTGCAGCCAAGCCAGGCCCTGGACACACCATACCACTGTGCGCGGTCTGCAGATGCAAAGTGAGAGACAGGCGTGCCGAGCGCGCGCGCGCGCGCACACACACACACACACACACACACACACACACACACACACCAAACCCACGAGGCAGCCTCGATAGCGTTGCCGCCTGACGCAAGACGCGCCAGAGCCACGGCAGGGCAGCCGCAAACGCCTTCGATTTTTGGGTGCCAAGTTGTGACAGGCAAGACACACTCGCATGCGCAAATCATGTTGAACAATCCATGCTTTTCCTGCACAGCCCGCTCTGAGGGTGCTGAAGCCAGGAGCATGCAGCAGGCCGAACCGCCCAAATCACGTGGCGACGCACCCGATGAGAGAACGCCCTGGCCAGGCGACCAGTAAGGGCAGCCTATGGACGTCCACACAACAAGGTTTGCTCCGTGTAGCAGGGGTGCACACCATCAGCCGCAAGGAGGGAGAGGCAAGCCACCTGCAGACGCGGCCTCAGAAGACGGCGGTGTGGGCGTTTTCTGCAGGGTGTCAGCCTGCGCAGGCGGCCGCGCGGCAAGCGCGTCGGGCCACGCGCTAGTGTGCTGCGCTGCCGGGGCATGGTGGCTGTGTGTGCGCGGCGCGGAGCAGAAAGGGCAACTGCTGCGCAGGCCCTTGGACAGGCCCCATGTGCAGGCTCTTCTCCCCCTTCCCTCTCCGGCGCTGGATGGCCGCGACAGGGCCTCAGGGCGAAGAGTCTCAATAGCAAGTGCGTGGGGTAAGATGATGCCAAGGCGCAAGGGGGGGTGCGAGCACCGAAACATGAGGAACAGAGCCCCGCTGTCAGCGAGATAAGCCGTGCGGCTGGATTGGTGGCTAGCAGGGGAGGAGATCGGCCAAAGGGTAGCAAGGCACCAGCAGGAGTACAGCAAGGGACTAACGAAAGGGAAAAGGGGGCGTTTCTGAGCGCCAGAGCTGGACTGGCTGTCAAGACGTCTGCCACGTGAAAGTGAAACGCAGCAGCGGCGGCGCACCCCACTGCTGGCAGCAAGCTGAGGGGTCGTTGCGCGCTCGGGAGTGGCCACAACAGAGTGCTTGGGTCAAGCAGTAGTGCGCATGATGCGCAGGAGTCGGGCAGGAGAGAGGGGGGCATTTTTGACGATGGTGCACCTCGCCTGCTGGCATACATGGGCACAGGAACCGGGGATGGTTCGAACGCACCGCAGCGCAGCTGCATAGAGTGCAGCGCAGCATACGCGCTGGTGAGGACGTGCAGCATTGCAAAGGCGCCTTGAGGGCGGGAAAGGCTCGGGATAGATGTCCAAAGCGCTATACAAGCAGCCCCAGGATTGTGATATACAGGCCCCAAGGATAAAAAGTGTGAAGGTTGGGGGAGGTGCTACATAGGTGCCGCCATCCAACACCCAGCAGCTTGGCCGGCCCCACCCAGGGTTGGGTGTGCGCCTGTGACGCGCGCCCCACGCCCAGGCGACCAGCCAGCCACGCAGCCAAGCTTCCGGGCCACCGCCGCGCCCCCTGACAACGCCCCCCCAGGGCCAGGCGAGCGCGCGGCCCCGCAGCAGGCCCCCAGGAGCCGCAAGGGGCCCCATGCACTCCGAGCCGCGCGGGCGGCCCTGTCACTGCAACAATGCAACTTCCGACCATAACGGATGACACGAATGGAAAAGTACAATGGAATGTGAGGATCTCAACACCACCCACTGCACGGCGGCGCCCTGCGCCCGCGGCCTGAACCTTTGCGCGACTGGGGGCCCTCCGTCAAGCCCCCGTCCCAGCTGCCCCCGCGCCAGCCAGGCCCCCGCCCTCGCCCTGACGCGAGGCGTGGGCGCGGCGGGGCGTCGCAGTGACGTCATGGTGACGTCATCGTGACGTCGCGTCAGTCCAGGGCCTTGGAGGCGGCGTCCCCAATGTCCATGACGCTGTCCTCGACGTCGACGGTCTTGGCGGGGCCCGTGAACCACTTGTAGGCGCCGTACTTGGGGAAGAAGAACCTTGCGGGGAGGGGGCGCGGGTTTGGGAGGTATTGGAGAGTCAGCACGCGCTTGGGGGGTTTTGAGGGTGACAGGCATGGGAGCGGAGGTCAGCACGCGGCCATCAGCCTGGCGAGCAAAGCGTGTGCGCTGGTCGCGTTTCCCGCGGGCGCGCGGCGCCTGCGCGGATCCGGATACGGAAAAAGGCACGCCCCGTCTGCCCCGGATGCACAGGGACTTCGCGCCAGCAGCACGCGACCCAAGACCTCCAGCTCGTGCCACACATGCCGTTTTGGCCTGGCGTGGGGCGCCGCGGGCTCACATGATGTTTGAGATGAGGAAGGTGCCAATGAGGGCCACGCTGGCGTAGTTGAGGTTCTCAGCGTCGACGGGCATCTCGGTGGGCAGGCAGAAGATGACGGTGGCAACACACGCCCAGACGCACGCGACGATGCTGCGGGGGTTTGTCGGAGGGGCGGGGTG